GACGTGTGCTCTTCCGATCTACGCATATTAAACTTCTTTAAAGCTAAGAATTTTAATTTTCCAGAAAATTTTGTAAAATAGCTTTTCCCTTCCATAGATTTCCAGTTTTGTGGCAACCCTGCCTTTATTTAGAATATCCGCAATATAAGCAACATACGCGCGCACATATACTAACCTTGATCTTGATTTTCTTCAACAATATTAGTGTGTAATTGATTCAGTACACGAATCTCTCCCATTTTTCGCGCTCTCTCTTGCTCCAACAATTTTGTTCTAAATTTAGCCATTTCCAGCTCTTTACGTATCTTCATAATCTCCAATTTCTTTTCCCTGTTGACTCTCCGCGGTTGTAACAGTCTGTTCAAAGTTGTCTGTGGATATTTGGGAGTGTGAAAATCATCACCGGAGGCGATGCGCACTCTGAGCGCTTGCACCGACTCCGTTTGTTGCTTTAGTGCCTGCATTTTGCTTCTTAAACTGCTAAGCTTATTCACGGTATAACTGTTCTTTACTTCAGATGCAGTCATAGTCATATAAAGGTAGCGCTTCGAGTCCAGAGCTGCTGTGAAACAGTACGCGGGGGTAAAGTATCCACCGTGAAAATAGAATATCAAAGAATTTTCCTTTAGGATAGTCTCCAGATTAGGTGGTAGCTTAGGACCGATATACGCCAATCCTGTGAACGACACTCCCCATGTAAAGAGGGTCACATCGGCTGTATTATCGCATGGCATCGAGTGTTTCCACACCCTCAGGATAATCTCTGTTTAAGAGGATAGAATTATTTCTCTAAATGTCTAACGAAAGTAAAAGTAGAGTATTTAAAAAAAGACGATAAGGTAAATAATGAACCAACACATTGTATGCTTATACCAAGAGACACAGCATTTATCGTACTAACAAATAGAAACGCTCACCACTAGCCGTTGAATAACCTGTGGCATGCAGGGTCGGCACTTCGAGACTTGACCACCTTGGATTAGCATTGTCGATCGCCTCGCTTGTGTACAATGGAGACGACATGCTTGATCTGTGTAACGTGTAATAGAACCAACATATCTCCCCATTTACATTAGCTTTCAAATTATGGCCTATTATTTGTACTAAACCTCTGAGCCGCAACTGAAAAGAGAAAATTTTAACCAATATATGTCAAGTGACGCTTTTGCTCGGAAAATATATATTATTTTTCTCAACATCAACTTTAATTTATGGCTCACCTGTTGGGTGGCGAGGGGAAGCCAGGTTTTATATCGCGGGGCGATTCGCGGTTGTAGGGTTAGATCTAAATCCTTAACAAGATTTCGCGATTCGGAAAGCTCCATCGTGCAACTTCATAGTACCGCGATGGTATCATTCGGTCGACAGAGATAGTTTACGTCGGTGTGAGAGGAAGACAACACCGGACGGCTTGATCGAAACAAAATAAACGTAATTGTAAACCGCGTACGCGCGCAGGCAGGTTATACCGATTTCTCACGATTAAAATGCAACTAAATAAATTTTGTATTCAGCAACTGATAAGCGTATTAACTACGGAGAGGCTAACTGGTCGTTAAGTCTCACGTCACGACTCGAGTCATTCGATCGCCCATACGTGTAATCTGCATCCCACAGAGAAGAGAACGGACGTGATAACATTTGACAAATTCTGACAGCTCCTCACACACACGGCCCCCTGCAGTCCTCTGCAGCCCCCTGACGGCCGGGTTTGACAACGCCAGCAATGGTCAGAGCCGGCTTAAGG